TGATCCCTCTTGCTCCTGCACACCTTGAGTGGGTCCATCGTGCTCCTGCACCCTTCGAGTGGATCCCTCGTGCTCCTGCACCCCTTGAGGTGATCCCTCACATTCCTGCGCTCCTCGAGTGGATCCCTCGTGCTCCTGCACCCCTTGAGGTGATCCCTCACATTCCTGCGCTCCTCGAGTGGATCCCTCGTGCTCCTGCACCCTTTGAGGTGATCCCTCTTGCTCCTGCACACCTTGAGTGGGTCCATCGTGCTCCTGCACCCTTCGAGTGGATCCCTCGTGCTCCTGCACCCCTTGAGGTGATCCCTCACATTCCTGCACCCCTCGAGTGGGTCCCTCATGTTCCTGCCTCCTCAAGTGGATCCCTCGTGCTCCTGCATCCCTCGTGCTCCTGCACCCTTCGAGTGGATCCCTCATGCTCCTGCACCCCTTGAGGTGATCCCTCTTGCTCCTGCACCCCTCGAGTGGGTCCCTCGTGCTCCTGCACCCTTCGAGTGGATCCTTCTTGTTCCTGCACCCCTCGAGTGCATCCCTCTTGTTCCTGCACCCCTCGAGTGGACCCCTGGTGTCCCCAGGATCCTCTGCCATGGGGCTCAGCAGGCAGTGACATCTAGTGTCGGGCCAGCCCAGTAAAGGCAGCACCGAGCGGGGAATCGCTGAAAATCGCATTTTCCCTGCTTTTCGAGGCTGGGGGAGCAGCTCTGCCACCGGGCGTCTTCCTGCAGGTCCTGCCCTCGGGCGGGAATGGAGCTCACCCGGCCGAGGATTTGCGGTCTTAGCCTTCACTTACCCAAAGTGTAAGGGCTTTTCTCTGAGGTTATGTGGAAATAACAGCAAAGGCTGTTTGTAAAGGGCTGGGGAAGGCTCAGTCACCTCCATGGCTGTGGCCAGGGGATGCAGAGGAGCAGAGCTGCCCTGGTTGAGTTCTCCACCTCCAGTTTGGGAAGCAGCAAGGTGGGAGGGATGGAGACAACGCTGCAGAGAAGGCGGCCGGGTTTGGGGCCGGTGTCCCCATACCCCATGTGGCTCAGGTGACATCCGTGATGGTGACTGCTTCACCCGTGTGCCATGCGGCCACGTGGTGCTTTTGGAGATGCCTTTGGAATGGCAGAGCCCTGGTTTCGTAGTGGCAGAGTGGTTGGTTTTGGGTGCAGGAAGGCACCAGAGCTGAAACACCATTTCCTTCTGTCTGGGGCTCGGGGCGCTGCCTAAAACCAGCTGGGTTGGTATTTCAGGTATTCCAGGTGTGTTTCAGATATTTCCAGGTATTTCAAAGAGGAGAAGTAGCTCTGCTGGTCTCCCTGTAAGGTTGGTGGTCTGGTCCTTCCCAAACATGGTCATGGAATAGAAGGAGATGCAGAGGCCGAGCAGTGCAGTTTGGGGAAGCACTGAAGGAAGGAGGGGGCAGGAGGACCAAGCTGTGTTTGTCTCATGTGTTTGGGAGCTGGGAATGGCTTTGGAGGTGACTTTAATGACTCCTGTGCAGATTGGGACTCCCCTGTGGTCTGTGTCACTGCAGAGGATGCTCTGGGTGCTTTAACTGCTGCCCCGGGACAGAAGGACGCTGGGCCCATCAGATATTTTTGCTAACTTCCTTTTTTTAAGTGCATTTGTTGAGCTTTTGCACATTTCTTGGACTTTATTGATGTTTCTGGTGAACTCTTCTGAATCTACTCTCAGCTTGGCAAAGAGCTCCCGGACAGCAAAACCAGGGAAAACAAACCCTGTCAAGAGACGTCCATCCCCTCGCTAATCCCCAGAGCTTCCTGGAATTACACCTCATTTTCCTGCCAGTTTGGCTGAATGCATTCAGATAAATTAAGTTGAGATGTCAGATCACACCAGGAATTAATTGACTCGGGGGGATAAAACGAAGAGGTGAGGAGAAGCTGTGGGAGGGCTGGAGAACAGGGACAGTTTTGGGTGAGCTGAGGGCTGTCGGTGGTACAGGGAGCAAGGGACAACGTAACCTGGTTTGAAACAGAAAATATTCTTTGTTCCTGCTGCTTTGCTTTGAAGCTTTTCCAAAGAGAGACAGAAATCTCTCTAAAAAAGTGGAGCGCATCAGTAGCGTAATGGATGCTCTGGTCCTTGGCACTCCAGATGGACTCGGAAATTCCTCATAAATTTTCCTCTGGGTCAATTACCACTCCAGTCTGAATTATTTCTTAATTGCTTCTTTGAACATTTATTAGACCCAAATGATTTTTTTTAAAGGCTATCTCTAATTTGGTGGTACGTTTGTCAAGTCTGTAATGACTCCGGATACGCTGCCGAGTGGTGTGCGCACTGTGACAGTCCCAGCCTGCATCCACGCACGGCGCAGAGCTTTGAGCAGCAGATGCCTTGGAGCTGGGAAAGGTTTTTAATGTGCCTGGGACCACTCTTCTGCTTCAAAACACCAAAACCTCCCCGGCTGGGTTTGCTAGGGCTTGGAAAGAGGCTTTTCCAGGGCCTAGCAATGGAGAAACGGCAAAATAAACCTGAACACAAGCTGAAAAGTGTGTTTTCTTCCTGCAGGGATCTCTCCCATAACCAGATCGCTGGTTTAGATGTTGAGACGTTCGAGAGCCTGACTTCTCTGGCAAAACTGTGAGTACTCGTGTGCTTTTCCACACCTCCAGCTCGTCGTGCACGTTTGGGTGGGTACCTGCAGTGTGCAGTGGTGCTCCAGCCGTCAGCCTTGCTCTTGCTTGGCCCCATCTGCCGAGCCCCACGTGGATGCATCCGTGGGCTCCTTCCTTGTAGTTTAACCACACAGTGAATGCTCATTGGCATTTGGAGAGTTGGGCAGGAGTTGACCAAAGAGAGCAAGCTAGATTTGTCACAAGATACACGGTAGGACATGGGAAATGATGACTGGTGGCTCTAGCTCGGTCGCTGCCATCTTTACACCTCAAAATCTCCTAAAAGGGGGACACATGGAGGGACTCGGAGCCCTGGAGCTGGGCTTGAGCACAGGAATAGGCTCCCTAGAGCGGCTGTGGAGTCTCCATCTGTGGACATACCCAAAAGCCGTCTGGATGTGGTCCTGGTGACCCTGCTTGAGCAGGGAGGCTGGCCCAGAGGGCTTCCAGAGGTCCCTCCAACCTCAGCCACGCTCTGACTCCATGTCTTAGTGCCTGACCACACTTTTTGCTATCGTGTGCATGTGGCTGATGAGTCTCAGGGTGCTCAGAAGGTACCAGGAACCCGGGCAGAGCTGGGGACAGAGGTGGATGCTGTGAGTTGGCCTGGAAGGCGTTACCAGCGGGATGAACCTCCCTTTTCCTTTTCCTTCTTTTACAGAGATATAAGCCACAACAAGATTTCTACATTAGAAGATGGAATATTTGATAATTTATTTAATTTAAGTGAAATGTAAGTTCACCCTCTTTATTTCCCAGTTCTCTGTTCAGGCCTTTCCTTGAAGCAGCTTTTCCTGGTGGGGCGGGAGGCAGCGCTGTCTTGGGGAGACCTGGGGCACGTACCCAACCGAGCAGCTGCTTCTGGGGCTCTTTGCAGTTTCCTCCTCAAATTCTGTCCTACTCCTCGGTCCTGTTGGTGCACAAACTGCTCCTGTTTGTGTGGTCACACCTGGGGACCGGGGGATCTGATAAAAAAGGCACTGATGTGCAACACAAGAGACCCTGCCCGAGGTGTCTCAGTCACTAGGAGCCGCTTGAAGATGTTGTCCCCGAGTGATTCAAGTCCTTATGGGGGTTTTTAATTGAAGTAATTAAAGTCTGTGCTGTTGTGTGAAGGACAACACACATTTCCAGGAGAGACACATGAAGCCACAGCACAGAATGGCCATTCTGTATCCGAGTGAGCCAAAGGATTAACCCCGAGCAATTGCTCTTGGCAAGCAAGAAAACAGCTCAGCCACTCATTCTGCCTGAAAACAGGACACAAAGGGCATTTTCAGCTCCACATTTTTGCTTACAAATGGCACTGAAAAGGCACAGAGGACCCAGGAGCGAGCAAAGTGGTGCTTTTGGGCTGGAAATGCAGGGTTCAGCCCCTGCGGCAGCGCGGCCCCGCTGGCGTCAGCTGCACAGACAGCTCTGCATCGCCGTGCCGCTCGCAGCTGAGTGCCGAGGGCTGTAATTTGGATCCAGCTTAGCTGCAATTAAAGTTTCCATCTTTTCATTAAGCTGCCACATGGAAAGATTACCATTGACTTTGCGTTTCTTTTTTGACAGGTCAATTTTATTCTCTTAGCTATTTTTTAATGGAGCTGTAAATAGTCTCCCTTAGCTGGAGAGGCTGCCGTTGCAGGCAGCGGCTGTTGGATGGCAGGCTATTTTAAATGTAAGATTGTGGCTGTAATTTGCTTCTAATTGCAACAATTATTTGTGGAGTGAAAAAAGCACTTGGAGTACTTGCCTAATTCTAGCCTCTAGAAAAATCACGTTAATTATTGCTTGATTCCCTATTCATTAACTCCCCTCGCAGCTCTTCCCGAAGCGTGGCAGCGGAGCGGCGCAGATGGGAGCAGCCAGGGCTCTGCACGCCGCTGTCATTGCCACCGAGCGCACGTCGAGTTGATGCCTGACTTGTCTCTGATCTCCTTGTTCCCAGAAACTTCAGTTGGAATCCATTCGTTTGTGACTGCAAACTCTCCTGGTTGCCCCGATGGGTGGAAGAGACAAGAGTGAGCGTTATTGAGGCGGCGGAGACGAGATGCGTGCACCCTCCCGAGGTGGCAAACCTCTCCCTCTTCGATGTCCTGTTCCCCAATGCCACTTGTGGTAAGGAAGCACTGCAAGGGTGATGGACATGGTGGAAATGAGGGATCCAGGGGCAGTTTGGGATCACATCTATACTTGTCAGACCTCAAATCACCAGCTGTCATCTAATCAAGCAAATAGTGTATGGCTGTATCCAATGCCTTAAGGGTTGAGTTGGTCACACCAGGGCTGAGATCTGCAAACTCATCACAGGCTGAGCTTCCTGCAGCCTCAGATGGCACTGGCTCCTGAGGCTTTCGTTCCCTCAGGCTTTGAACAGCCTGACTTTAAGCAGTGACATCTCATTGAGATGGTGGGACCTGAGGACACGCTGGGTTGAGTCTTTGCAGGTGACAGGGGTTGAATCTTTGCAGGTGACAGGGGTTGAATCTTTGCAGGTGACAGGGCTCCACATCAGGAGCATTGAACACTGCCCCAGGCTACAGCCCATGGCCTGCTCCAGGTGCATTTTTCTGACTGCCTTGGCTGGGAGAAACACGAGGCAGTGCTTAACTGTAGCCCTAAAAACATGGTCCCCATGGATGCTCAGCTCTCTCTGAGTAACTAAGACGGGGGACAAGCGAGTGCTCCCCTTGAAAGGCATCAGGCATCTCTAATGCATGACAGGAGGATGCAGGGATGAGGGCTGAGAGCTACCACCTTGCAGGAATTATCAAGGGAAATAATACAGCACCATTACTCCCCTTGATAATTAGTTGTTACCCTATTGAACTATAAGTAGGTGTGGAAGCTGTAATAAAAGGCTGTTTTCTGGGTAATTCAGTGTGAAGGGAGTGGGCTGGGGACAGCCCGCCAGCTCCTGACGTTGTTACTGACTGGCAGGGAATGGAGTATGACCAGGCTGGTGCTGAAAAGCAGAGCAGTTCCCATGCCGTGGTCCTCCTCATGCAGCTTGTTTTTTTTAAGGAAAGCAGCTCAGCGTTCGCAGGAAAGCGGTGGAGAAAGCCACAGTTGGATGGGTTCAGTGTGGGAAGATCACGCAAGGCCGGAGCCGTGGCGATGTTTTGGGGGAGGTGTTGTAGCAACCAGCGGCAACAGAGCAGCGAGCGCGGCCGGGCTGCGTGGGCAGCGCTGCAGCGGGGGCCAGCCCGGCCCCGCGGGGCTGTGGCTGCGCACGTGGCAGGGCCCTGCTTGCATCCTTGTGGCAGAGAAACGTCCCCCCCGACTGAAACCAGCAAGGGGGAGTGAACCCAAGGGGGTGAAGCTGCTGCTGTGGGGATGGGGCTGCTGTGGCTGCCATCGTATCTGTGTCCGTGTCCTGTAGCCGGGTGTGCGTTGTTTCAGTGCATCCTTCCCATGAACACACACACACACACACATCCTCCTGCACCCCTCAGATGCAGGCCGTGTCTGGCAGTGCCATCTTTTCTAGCCCTGGGTGTTGCCTGCAGGGAGGTGGGAAGCTCTTGGCTCTCTGAGGAGGGAGGTGGCTGCAGTGTGAGTCTAGGGGAGAGCCCAGTGGTGTTCCCCCCTCTGCCCTTGATGTGCTGCTCTGCCCAAATGCGTTGGGTTATAGGCAAAAGGAAGCCCCAAGCAGCACAGAGTGAAACATGCTGCACCACACCAAGCCAAGGTGCAGATAAGGGACAGCCTTTTGTCTTGGTCTCACTTGGTGGCAAGTCCTGGAGGCTCCTTGGAGGGTCAGACTCAGTGGCTTTGTGCCCCACAGGACTATCAGGCTCTCCAAAGACCCCTTTTATGTACTGAGCGTTGCTGCTCCATAAATCTGTTATTCCTGTCATCGCTAATTAGCATTAAGAGTTTGGAAATCGTTGCTGAGGGATTAAAGACTTTCCAAGCAAGTCTCACAAAGGAAATGCGTGCAGCAGCAGGAGGAGAGGTCCATTCCCGGGAGCGTGGGGTGGTGGCGATGGTGTCTGGGGGTGTCCCCAAGCCATGGCTTCGCAGTGTGGGTGTGCAGGAGGGTCTGTTCTTTCCCCAGGAGCTCAGTACATCGCGTGTCTGACCAGCAACCACACAGAAGGGGCTGAGCTCATCGTCCTCTTCACGTCTGCTCACAATGGGAACCTCACCCAGGAGACCTGCGGGGCCCTGTGTTACGCCGAGGACCAGGAATATGGAGGTTTCAGCCGCCAGGGACAGTGTTTGTGTGGCACTGCCCACGAAACGAACTCTTCCTCCGATTGTTTGCCCTTTTGCACTGAGCATTTGCCCGGGCAGGCCTGTGGTGGCCCATCACTCGTCCCCTTGCCCTTCCCGGCATCGCTGCCTGTGTCCTTCACGGGACTGCAGCCCCGGTACAGCCTGCACCAGGCCGTGCTCTTCAACGTCAGTATTCCCATTGCCGTCAGCACTTTACTGTGGGAATTTGGGGACCAGACAGAGGTTCTCAACACCACTGGAAACACAGCTGTCCACACGTATGCCTTACCTGGGCAGTACAACGTCACCGCCACCGTCTTCGTGGGCACCAGGGACATAGACGTGCAGGCAGAGATTGAGGTGGTGGCTTCGCCCCTGCAGTTGGAGCTGCAGTGTCCTTCCTTGGTCAAGACGAACGAGAGTCTGGACATACGGATCCGCAACAGAGGCGGCACTGGGCTGGCGGTGCTGTACGGTATCACCGCTGAGGCCGGGGAGCTGGGCAGAGGTGAGCAGGGCTGGCAGGGTGGGCGCTGGGTCCTTTTCTTCCTAATGAGGGGTACGGGATGGCTCCTTGGGGCACTTCTTGCTCCCTGACAGACCAGGCAGCGCTCTTCACTGTCCTGGGCCAAGGAGGTGGCTGCACAGAGGGCACTTCACCTGCAAAGGGGATTTATGGGCTTCAAGAAGGAGAGGGCATCCTGGAGCCTCGCTGCCCAGCTTGGGTCGGGGTGTGTGGGCCCATGGAAAGGATATCACGCTTGTGTTCTGTCTCGTGCAGCGGTTCACCCCATGTGTCCTCCCGATGGCCTGGTGTTCCCGGGCAACAACCACTGCTACCAGCTGGTGGTGGAGAAGGCCGAGTGGCTGGAGGCCCAGCAGCACTGCCAGGAGCACGGCAATGGAGAGCTAGCGTTTGTGAGCAGCCCCGAGATCCAGAGCTTCCTGGTCGCCCGAGTCATCAGGTAAGTGAGGGGGGTAAGGGCTGAGCTCTCCTAGGGACAGGGCTTGCGTTCCTGGGGTCACACCTGCAATGGGGGGGGTCCTGCTGAGCCCTTTGCAAGCAGTGAGGCTGGAGAGACGCACAGGTACAGGGAGATGGTGGCCAAAAAGGAGGAATAAGCAGAGTGTGAGCCCTTCCTGACCTTGGCTGGGGTGGAAAGGCTGGAAGTCAGAACTAAGGGCTGGGGGATCGCTGCTGGTGGGCACCTTGGGTGCATCCGAAGTGGTGCAGAGAGCTGCGGGGTCAGAAGCCCTGGCTCCCAGCTGGGGTCCCGCACCCTCCCAGCCATGGCTGCAGCCTGAAACCCAGGCCCCTTCCCCTCTTCTCTGGCCTCCCGAGGAGGAGCAGCTCTTCCCTCTGCGTGTCAGACCCAGCAGCAGCTGTTCCACCTCAGGACTCGGGCTTTGTAAACAGAGAGCACGGAAAGTGTCAGCCTTTGATTAAACCTGCCCCTCTGAGTGCCCTTTCTGCAACCAGCCCTCCTGGGGGGAGGACGGCCAGGAGAGATTCCCGGGCCTGAGAGCTCTTGTCAGTGCTCCCAGATGAGACAGTGAAGGTGGTGGAGGTGGTGGAGATGGTGGAGGTGATGAGATGGTGGAGGTGTTGGAAGTGTTGGAGATGTTGGAGGTGGTGGAGATGGCCACTAAACAAGCACAGCCCAGAAGGGAGCCGCTGTGCGTGACGTGGGCTCTGAACAGTCCCGCTGCAGGGCTGACAGCCCCTGCTCCCCAAACCTGGTCCTTGCCCTGTTCCCTTCACGCTGGGGTTCATCCTGAGATGCCAGATGTGGTCCTCGCTGCAGGGCAGAGACGTCTGTCCCTTCCTGCAGGTTAGGGACTGGTCTCTGAGTTATGGGGCATTGCGTGTCGGGCGTTTGATGGAAACCACGAGGCCTCAGGAGGGAACGAGCCGCCCAAGCTGCTTCCCAGCTGCTGCCCCGCGTTGCTCTCCACCCCGGCCCCCTTTATTTCATCTGTTTATGTTATTAATCCCTTCAGATAAACATGAACGAGGCAGTTCCAGGATGCAATTGCCCTGGCGATAAAAGGACAAATCAAGCGAGCCACCGGTTTCTGGAGCGTGCAGCCTCCGTGGTTTCTGGTGGGAAAATGACAGCAGCAGAAATGTGTTTCCCATTAGAGCAGGCAGCAGCGAGCACCGTGCTCTCCTCTCCTGTCTGATGGCCTCCCCAGCAGCAGCGTGCACGGAGCTGGTCCCTCCCCACCTCCCAAAACAGGTTGCTCCCATCCAGGGGACCCCGCTTTCCCCTCCGAGGCAGCGCAGAGCCCCTCTCCCCTCCCAAACCTCCTCAGGCCTCGTTCTGCTCCCGCTGCCCCAAGCAAGGCAGCTTGGTCCTTCCTCAGAGACAGAGGACACTCACACCTTCCTTCAAAACAGGATTTGGGGAGTCCTTTTATTCCCCTTTTCAAGGTGCTGGGGCAGCGGTGGGAAGGAAGCCAGCGTGCTCCTTCTTTTGTCATTTTATTTTGATGAGCTGCAGTTAGATCATAGCTGGAATTAGGAAAGGAAAATCTCCGTCGAGGCTCACTGATGACAGCAAACAGGCGGTTTCCTTGCCTGCTCGCCCTAATCCCCTGCCAGTGGTTCAGGAGCAGTTATTTATTCGTTACCCGGATTTGCGGTGAAAACTACTGATTCACGGCGCGGTTATTTTCGTCGTCGTTTCTCAGCGTCCCCTCATGAATCATTGCAGCTGCGGGGGGAGAGGCACCGCTGACCTCCCTGGTGCTGCTTTTTGGGGAGCAGTGGGAGCACGCAGGGGCACGGCCGTAGCAGAACTGATTCAGTTTGCAGGAGGGAGCGTGGAGAAGAAACTGGGGGCTTTGATGGGTGCATGATGAGGCTTTTCTTCCCCTGCAGAAGTTAATATGGAGCAAATGCCTCACTTTCTGCTTGGGTGCAAGGAGAAGCAGTTATCCAGGCTGCTTGTGGCCATGGGAGACCACTCAGCACTTTCCAGCAGAGCCTCTGCAGGGATTCAGCCCGTTTCCAAACGCAGCTGGGACATTTCACCTTCCTCAGATGATCCCAGCGCTTTATTTTGTGTGTGGGGTTCATCCGCCCGCAGCGCTCGGGGCTCTGCCACCTTTGGGTGGTGGCTGCGGAGCTGGTGATCTCCCAGCATCAAAGAGAGCAGCAGCTGGCGCCGCCCGGGGTTTGATCCTGCACTGGTGCCAGTTCCTCTTGCAGCGGAGACTTGGCTCTGCGACTCGGTGACTCGTGGCAAATTCCACGGCGCTGCAGAAACGCAGCAGAAGGTTTCTGATGCGGCTTTTTCAGTCACTTTGGTGTGACCATACTGTTCCTCTTCAGTCATGGCTCAGTGTGGGCTTAGAAGTGTCCGTGAGGGTCGTTCAAGCTGCAGTGCAGCCCATTTTAGTGCTCTGCTAAGAGGGGTCTAAGGTGGTAGAAGGGGTACTGAAATCCTTTAATAAATAGGATTATTTAACTAAAATCTCCATTAAATGCAGCCTGTGACACCCAGATGAAGCTGCTGTTGTGCAAATTATTATTTTCTAATATTTTTCTAATATTTCCTAACTCTAGCTGGCATCTGTCCCATGTCTTTAATACTCACGATCCCCTGCAATCCTCCCCAAACCTTTTATTTTCTATTTTCTGCAGGAGCCTGGATGTCTGGATCGGCTTCAACGATTTAGCGAGCGCTGGCGCCCAGCAGAGAGGAGAAGGCTTTAACCTGGAGAGCTGTCAGAACTGGCTGCCAGGAGAGCCCCATCCCTCCAACGCCGACCACTGCGTCCGGATGGGCCCGACGGGCCAGTGCAACACCGACCTGTGCATGGCCAAGCACAGCTACGTCTGCGAGTACAAGCCAAAAGGTGGGCCCTGCTTCTGTCCTGCTCTTATGGGGCATCGTGGGCAGCCAGGTGTCCTGTTGGGGTGTCCTGACAAGGAGAAACAGGGCTGCATGGAGGGGGGCGCCCTGAGCATCACCCCACACCAGATGGGACTGGCAGCACCCACAATCCCAGGGTGTCAGGAGTTGGAAGGGACCTGGAAAGCTCCCCCAGTGCAACCCCTGCCAGAGCAGGATCACCAGAGCAGTCACACAGGAACACGGCCAGGGCTTTGGGTGTCTCCAACCTCTCTGGGCAGCCTGGGCCATGCTCTGGACCCTCACACTGACAAAGTTTGTCCTCATGTTCTGCTTGAACCTCCTGGGTATTGGAAGGGAGAAGCATTTGCAGTGTTTCTAGAAGTCAAAATTGCTGAGGATTGCAAATGCAGACATTACTTGTGCAGGATGAGAAAGAAATCAGAACTCCTGGAAGAAGGAGAAGGAGGAAACTGCAGGATTGCTGTTCCTCCAGTAGAGCTGCAGTCACAGATTGCCCAGTGGCCCAGGCCCTGCTGCAGCTCTGCTGTGTGGTGTGAGCAGGAGCAGGGCTTGGGGAGCAGCTTCAGGCCTTGCCGAGCCTCCTGGGGTTTGTTCACATCTTTCCTTTGTCCACAGGAGTCCTCCTAAATGACAAAAACTTCTTTGTGGGAGACCCCACGTTCGGGACACGCGAGGCTGTGAAAATTGTGACGGGAGATGTGATGGAGGATGTGCTGTCATCTCCGGGACAAACTGAGGAGGTGAGAGGGGTTTGCTCGTCCTGCCTCTGCAGGGACAGCCCGGGAGGACACAGATGGATGAGAGAGAGCTCTGTTTGGTTCTGCAGGTGATGGTGTTCCCTGAGCTGGCGTTCAGGCACGAGGGGTACGTGACTGCCCTGGAGCTGGTGACGCAGGAGCTGCATCGGCCCGTCCGAGTGAGCTTCCAGCTGCACAGACCGACTGGTGAAGGTGAGGCCTCTGCTCCCAGCGCTTTTGGTTTTGTCGGAGCTGATGCCATCAGGGCCATGTCAAACTGAGTGTGTGGGGCCTGTTGTGGTTTAGGACTGGGCGCTGGACAGACGCCCTCTGTTAGCCCCTCTCCCTTCCCCAGAAGGGAAGAGAAGAGAGAAGAAGGGAGAGAGACTTAAAAAACTAACAGGTTTAATGAAACAATAATACTGATACTACAGGATAATAATGTAAATAGGAAAATAATGGAATATATACAAACATGTACAAATATAGATACAAAACCAATATAAAGTCCTCCCCCAATGACGAGGACGTCCCCAGAGGCTCTTGGAGCAGGCACTGGAAAAGTCCCAGTGTGGAGCCAGCAGCAGTGGGAGCAAGCACTCTATAGTATTCCCAGGCGGTTTCCCTTCCAAGTACTGACCAGGCCCGACCCTGCTGAGCTCCCGAGCTCAGCTGAGATGAGCAGGATGCAGGAACAGGGCTCAGGATCAGAGGCAGGCGAAGCAGCAGCGTCTGCTGGGCCTTGGGCCATTGCAGGGGTGGAGAGGGAAGGAAGGGTCCAAGCTGGAAGGGTCCAGACCCTGGGGATCCCTGGGCTTTGCACTGAGTGTGGCGTGTGTGGGATGCAATCCCTGGTTGGGCAGGGTTGGGTCTGCTCCTCCTGTAGGTGCAGACACGGCCCCCATGGTGAGACAGTGGCCTTGTGCTGATCACTTGTAGCAGTGCACACTGTTGTTAAACCACGCTGCTGGTTTGAGCAAGTTCAGCCACTGAGAAGAGACTGAGCTGGAAAGTAACATCACTGAATAGAAAATCAGCTCTGTTGAGCTCAAACCAGGACAGGGGCCTTTCTGTGGCTTTGAAGCCTTAAAGGCTCAGAGATTGGGCTCTGTTTTTTGAGGAGACCCAAGTGCAAAACCTGCAGCCTGAGGCTGCCTTGGAGAAGTGGTCGTCCCGCAGAAATCAGGTTGGTCGTCCCGTCTCCTACAGTGGTCTCCTGCAAGGAGAAACCTGTCCCAGTGCGTGAGGAAAATGTGAGCGTGAGGAACGTGTAGAAGTGAATTCATCTTCTGAGCTATGCTCTTATGCTGCAGGAGGACATGACATGCCCAATGGGAACGTGTTCTGGTCCATCTGGCCCCGCAGGTTAACTTTTTTTTTGAGCCCATTTCTTCGTGATGGATGAGATGATCTAACAAGCCTTTTATCCCGTGTGCAACAGCTCAACAGTCGCAGTTTTGGCAACAGTTAATTCTGCAGCTGAGTGTTTGCTGTAGCTGCAGAGTTGGCTGCTTTCAAAAGGACAGGTTTTGACACTGAAAAGCTGATTCTTCGACATGGAAACATGAACTTAAGAGACGTTGCTTAATGTGTTTTCAATGTCAAAGCCAGCTCTGCTTTTGCTTGCACTCGCTTTCCCCTGAACATCGATCTCTCTTAGATTGCAAAGCGGTGTGTTCTCATGGGAAAAGAGCCTAACTTTGCTTTTAGAGATCTGTCATGAAATTTCCCAGTAAAACAGGACCCTTGTCTTAGGTAGCACCAGGATGTGTTGCAGTTGCAGCTTTTACCAAGAGTGCAGCCACCATCAGTCAAAGTGGGTGAATTTAAGGAGTGTTACGTGCCAGAATAGTGACCACTGCTTTCTGTTTCACTGCTTCCAGGCGACCAGGAGGGAGCAAACGCTACAGAGCCATTGCTCGCTGCTCAGGACGATGGGAACGGGACGCTCCTTGAATGTCCCCCTGGTTTCCAGTGGTGCCATTTGACTGATCTGTGCTCATCGCTCAACAACTGCTGCAACGCGACCGAGTGTGCCAACGCTTCTCTTGCCCGCGCCGCTGCCCCCGTGTCCCTGCAGCACAACGAAAGCCAGCTCAGCTATGGACTCCTCGGGGAGTTTCTCTTTACGATACCAGCGGGCCCCTCTGCCCAGTATCTGGTCAGTGTTTCTTGGCTGTAGTAACCAGTGAGTAGCTGGGGCAGTTTTCTCTTGAGTGCTTTGGGTAGATGCAGAGTTGCTCCCAGTTTTGCAGAGGGAGATGGACTGAAGTCCATTCACATGAAGTGACTTGCCTGGTGTCACACATGTCACCACTTCCCATCTTCTGCCCTCTAAGCCATGGGCTCCTTGCAGAAACCTACTGCAATTTGGTCAGCTGGGCTAATCCCATTGAACTTAAGCAATGGAGATAGAGCAGAACGCTGACTTCTGTGTTAGCACAACTAATTCAGAGAGGCCAAGGAGAGTGGAGTGGTGAAGTATCTCCCTGCGCTCTCTGGATCCACAGCTTTTCCTTTGGTTTCTGCTTGGCAATAATGTCTGGCCCAGGCAAGACTTGGGTGCTGAGCTCTCTTAGGTTTAATCCAAAAACGTCTCCTCTCTCTGCAGGTCACACTGAGAAAAGAAAATATTGTTGTCAAGGCCAAGGACATCTTCAGTATCCAGCACAACGCGGGCGTGGGCTCGTTCCTGCAGTGCCAGCCCAGTACCACGTCCCCATACAGAACCAACGTCTTCAGCACCAACTCCTCAGAGTGGGTGCTCGGCCTCTCCGACGGCTCCGGCGGTGCCTCCTGGATGAACGACACTGTTTGCTCCGTTCGGGTCCGTTACGCTGAGGAGCAGCTGGTCCCGGTGATGAACCCTGGCAACGCGGGGCTGGAGCATCCGGGTCGCTACACGGTCAGAGCCAGCGTGGACAACAGCATCTTCAGCGCCAACCTGTCCTGCGGTTTCTGGGTGGCCTCCGGGGTGTCAGGCCTGCGCGTGATCCACCCTGCTCCTCAAGGCAGCAGGGTCTACCTCCCGTCCAACCACACCACCCTGCTGGTCAAGCTGTCCTCGGGGCTGAACGCCACCGCTCGCTCCTTCCCCTCCCAGGGCTCCTCCCCAGCGGCTGTCGCCCCGCCGGCGGCCGACTGTGCCAGGGAGACCAACGACACCTGGTTTGCTGCGGTCAGCCTGAGCGGCCTCCGGGAGGGGGTCAGCACCCACGTCCTCGTCGCGGAGAACGCCGTCAGCTCCCAAAACATCACCGTCACCGTGAAAGTGGAGGAGCCCATCCGCGGGCTGCGGGCCATGCCTGACCCCGAGAGCAGGGTCCTTTTTTTGAGTGGTCGCTGCCGGTTCCGATTCGTCGGCAGGGTGTTTGGCTGTTACTGCTGAGGGTGACGGGGAGGGCTGGGGCTCGGCTCTGCGCTGGCCGGGGGTGGCACCGCTTGCTGCTGAGCGCCAGCTCCTGGCCCTGCGGGCAGCGCTGCTGCGGACCCAGGCTTGTGCAGAAAGCAGGAAGGGAGCTCAGCTCGGCGTTCACTCGAACTCCCTCAGAGGTAAGGCAGCAGCTCCTGCTAGGGGAATACTGGCTCTCTGCAGAAAACCGGAGGCATCATGACAGGCCAGGATTTACCTTTTGACTTACCAGGGTAGTTACTCCTTTAGGTGTTTAGATTGCTTTACTAAATCTTTACTGGCTGAAGCTATTAAAGTGTTCCATCCATCCATCCAAGTCTTAGAGTTACTCTGGTGTTTTCAGTCCTCAAATCCCCTGTCCCCAGAGCCAGGCCCCAGGACCTTGTTCAGTAACTGCCCCTCGGTGCCTGTGAAATGCTCTGTGCAATCTCTGGCTGCTTACAGCAAATCCCTGTGCCTGCAGTGCCTGTTTGGCCTCACCCTTCCTGGCTACCATGGTCTGCTCAGGAGACGCTGCAGGAGTGAGGAGGGGGCTTACCCTGTCCAGGGCAGCTCAGCCTTTTTAGCCTTTGGGCCAGGCACCATCCATTGACGAGGGTCAGAGACTCAGCTTGGGGGTGTAGCTAAGGCTGAGTTGTTTCTGTGAAGGTTTCAGACAGTTTTTTAGCCAGCAAGAAAGACCTGATCACAAAAGCAGAGCTTCAGGGTGTGGGAGCAGGCACTATGGGTCCTGTTCCAGGCTGTGCTCGTCACTTATGGAGTCAGGGTTGGTCTTTCTCCACCAGCAATGGAGCCACAGATGATCTTGCACTGAGAGCGCTGTCCTGCAGGTGTATGGCTGCTCCCAGTCTGGCTCTGCTCCCTCTCCAGTTCAACTGGAGATCTGGGAGGTGCTGTGCACGCTTTCCTCTTGCACCAGTGTGAAATGTCCTCGTGCCTTTCAGAGCTACGTCCCTGTGATGGAAGCTGGGTCAGACGTGACTTTCCGATGGACGGTAGATGATAAGCCATCGTTCACTTTTTACAATGTTGTCTTCAACGTTATCTACCAAAGCCCAGCTGTGTACAAGCTTTCGGTAAGCCAAGGCCTTTCCCGTGGTACCGCTTTCACCCCACAAACCGAGCAGGAAAAGCAGCAGGGAGAGGAGAAGGCAGAGATGAGTTGAGGAGGTTTTCGCTGTGCTCCTAAGGAGCTCATCTGCTGCTCCTCCCTGAGCTGCTCTTGCAAACGCCAGCAGTGAGGTTCTTCCTGTGCTTTCTTTACAGCTGGCTTCTCTGTCCTCGCCTTTGCTTTCTCCTCTTTTCTCCGTGTTCTCCTTCCACGGAGCGCCTGTCCTTACTCTCCGAGCAGGAAGGAGGCAGGGACCCCACTGCGGGTGCTGGCCGCTGCCTTGGCAGGAGCTGGGGATTCAGAACCAGGCAGGGGCAGGATGCAAACGTCAGACTTCATAGGCAGGACAGAGCTTCTGCCACAAGCTCCTCTGGTCTCTGTCTACTGGTGCAGACTGGAACCGCAGGTTTTGTCGCAGAAGAAGGACAGAGCAGAGTCTGGGCAGCAGGAGGTCTCTGTGTAGTTTCTCTCTGTGTCACACCCGGTACTGCCATGCAGAGTCCTGCTCTGGCTCCAGGCTGCGTGATCCGTGTGCAGGGTAAGTGCTGGCTTCCTGAGACACCAGCCCCAGCTCTGAGGCCATGCTAGCGCTAACTTGCTTGGAGCAGCACTGTGCTGAGTGACGCTGATTTGCTGGGTGAAGCACCGTGGTGACAAGCCTGGGTTGCTTTTACTTACAGAGGTGGTGAGGGAGCATTAGGCTGGGACCCGTGGGGTTCAGTGGGACAGACCCACAGAAGCATTGATATGAACTTCGTTGTCTGCTGGGAGGGAGGTCTCTGTTCAGCTGGGTTTGCAGGACCCCTCCAGTCAGCAGCTCCGTGCTCCTGCAGGTGAGGAGGTGACAAGATCACAGGATCACAGAAGATGCTCAAAGCTGCGTTGTCATTAGGTGCCACGTCAGTGCTATGTCCCTAGATAATCTGGAGGATCCTGCTCTACTTCTGTCACGTCTCTTCAGTCTCTTGCCCATCCATTCTCCCTGTCCTTCCAACTTTGCTCTCCTCTCTGTGCCCACTACACCCACGATGCTGGAGCTGCTCTTGTGCTGGATTTTGAGTCGCTCCCATCCCCACTCTCTGTGCTTGGGGCCACTCCTCTGCCCCTGTCCTAAGGAAACCAGGCGGCTGTTGCCCCCTTGGTGGCAAGAGGTGACCTTCCAGTCTGTGCTGCATCCCAGTGCCATTCAGGCTATGGCCCCTGTGTCCCTGTCCCACTCTGGCCTTTGTTTGCCTGGGGGACCTCTTCAGAGCAGTGAAGCCCCACTCAGGAGAGGGCAGCACAGCGAGGTGATCCCAAATGCCTTCTTTGTCCCGCTGTCCTCCCCAGCTCACCGCCTCCAACCACGTCAGCAACTTCACGGTCAACTACAACGTCACGGTGGAGATGATGAATAAGATGAAGAACCTGACGGTGGCGGGCGTCCTGCCGGTCCTGCCTCAGAACAGCACCGTGGAGCTTACAGCGACAGTGCAGGTCGATTCAGCTGTGGATGCTTTGTTCCTGTGAGTCCTTTGCAAGTCGCCCAAATGTAGGATCTTGCTGTGCACAGCTTAGCACTCTTGCCTGCACTGTGTCTCTTCCCAGGGCCGGCGGATGTCCAATGGCCCCTTTCTCAGCTGCTCTCTAGTTAATGTGAAATCCCTGCGAGTGTGGTTCAGTCACATTGGCTGGGACCTGTAGCTCAGGCTGAAATACTTCTCTTTGAAGGACTGCAACACTGCTTTAGTATTGGGTTTCTCCTCTTCTTACCAGTGGTAAGACCTTTTTTCTCTTCTTCTTCTCCTATTTTTCCTCTCACAGCAACAGCTCTGCAGTGCTGGGCACAGCTCTGACACTTGGCACTGTGTTTCCTATGGTTTTCTGGAAACCCCAACCCTGAGCCTCAAAAACAGCCCCAGGCCAGGCCAGGGTCCCTCTGGGATCTCCATGGTTCTCCTGTTGGGCAGTGTAACACAATTTGCTGTTTCTGCAGGTGGGATTTTGGAGACGGTGTCCAGGAGACGTACCTGTTCAGACCCCCCTACAACAAGTCCTTCCTCGTCCCTGACCCCAGCGTCCATGAGGTTGTCATTGAGCACAACGTTTCACACGTCTATCAGGACCCAGGTACGCTCAGGATGGTTCCCTGGGGAAGAGGGGGCTCAGGCATTTTTGTTTTTTCAGTGGCTTGAAAGTCATTGCCTTGTTCCTGAGCAGACAACCAGGGCAGTGGGGGTCTCCAGCAATTGCCATCCTCTGTAGCTCTGTTTCTAGAAGTTTATCCACTGCACATGGTCCCCTTTTTGGGCAGTCTCTGCAGATGGACTGGCAGGCAAGCTTCATGCTGATGAAGAGGGGGAGGAAGGGGGTCTGTTTTGTGAGCAAAGAGAAATAAAATCTTTTCTCTGTATCTGTTGGACCGGCTTCTTGGTGTTTGATGCTCACATGCATGGTCTGGTTGTGATTTCTGCTTGTCCTGGACTGGAGGAGGGAAGGCCGGGGTGTGCAGTGCAGGAGCAGCACTGAGGAAGCTGCTGCACAAGCGTGTCCTCACCACTGCTCTTTTTCTGCTCTCTTCTAACACAGGAGAATACGCCTTGGTGGTTCTGGTGTCAAACCAGTTTGAGAACCTCACCCACATGACCCCGGTTCACGTCCACAGTTACCTGGTTGATGTGAAGATGGAAACCGAGGAGGATGTGTTAGTTGTGAGCCGTCCGGTCACCTTCAGAGCCCATCCGTTGCCGTCTCCGTACGGCGTGGTGTACAGCTGGGACTTTGGGGACGGGTCCTTGCTGTTCACAGAGAGCCAGCCTACAGCGACGTACAGCTACCCCCGAAGAGGGGTGTACAACGTCACCGTGACGGCCAACAACACCATAAGCAGCGTGGAGGTGGTCGAGAGCTACCAGGTGTTTGAAGAGATAACGGGGCTCCGTGTCTCCGCAGATGAGGCAGCAGAGCTGGGAGCATCCGTGACCCTTAACGCTTCGGTGCAGACGGGGGACAGCGTCACCTGGGTGTTCGATCTGGGGGACGGGACGGTGCTGAGGACTCAGGTGCCGGTGGTAGAGCACGTGTACGTAAAGGACATCAACTGCACCGTGAACGTGACCGCTGTGAATCCTGTCAACTCCGTCTCCCAGGCTGTACCCATCCGGATATTTGTGCTGGAGGTGCTCAAAATAGAGCCCGACTCCTGCATCCTTGAGCACCCGGATGTGCAGCTCACCGCGTATGTGACCGGGAATCCCGACAACTACGTCTTTGATTGGACTTTTGGAGACGGCTCCTCCAACGTCACGGTCAGGGGGGACCCCGTGGTGATGCACAACTTCACCCGAAGTGGGACGTTCCCCCTCTCGCTGACTCTCTCAAGCAGCTTTAACAAGGCTCACTATTTCACCAGCGTCTGTGTGGAGCCAGAGATCGTCAACGTCACCCTCCTCCCTTCCAAGCAGTTTGTGAGGCTTGGAGAAGAGACCAGCTTCCAGGTCAGCGCCGTGCCTCTCTACCGGTACCGCTACCGCTGGGATTTCGGGAACAACGAGTCCACTAGGTCGAGCGGGACGGAAGTGACCTACACCTACAAGAACACGGGGGTCTTCCTGGTCACGGTAACTGTGTCCAACAACGTCTCTTTCAACAACGACACGGCGTTTGTGGAAGTCCAGGAGCCGGTTGGGGTAGCAAAGATTGAATACAACGGGACGAGTGTTTTGGAGCTGAACCAGGTGTACCTGTTCTCTGCCAGCATGAACGGGACCAAGGTGAGTTACTGCTGGGACTTCGGAGACGGCACCACGCAGCCTGGCCAGATCGCTGCCCACTCCTACAACGCCACGGGCCACTACACAGTTAGCGTGATGGGCCAAAACGACGTGAGCTTTAATGAGACTGTCGTCGAGGTGACGGTCAAGCGTCGGCTGCAGGGGCTGACCATCAACGCCAGCAGGACGGTGGTGCCGTTGAACGGCTCGGGTTTTTTTGCGCTGCCCCCCCCAGCCGCTACTCGTGGATCCTCTGTGACCGCTGCACCTCCATCCAAGGCTCCTCCACCATTTCCTACACTTTCCGCTCCGTGGGCACGTTCAACGTCATCGTGACGGCGGAGAACAAGATCAGCTCCTTGCAGGACAGCATCTACGTCTACGTCCTGGAGCAGATTGAAGGGCTGCAGGTGGGCAGCACTGACCTGGTGGAGGACGCCTATTTCCCCACTAACAAAACGCTCCACTTGCAGGCAGTGGTGAGGGAGGGGACAAACATCTCCTACAGCTGGGTCGCCCAAAGGGACGGCGCCGCTGTGCAGAGCTTCGCCGGGAAAACCTTCTCCTTGAGCATCCTGGAAGCTGGAAACTACACTGTCTATCTGAAAGCCACCAATATGCTGGGGTGGGCAACTGCTAACAGGACAGTGGAGTTCATTGAGAGCATTGGTCTTTTAAAGCCTTACGCCTTCCCCAACCCAGTCGCTATTAACGCCTCTGTTAACATAAGCGCCACCGTCAGCAGTGGCACTGGCATCACCTATGTGTGGTACCTAGAGGACGGCTTCTCTCCTGTTACCTCTGAGCCCTTTATCATACACTCCTTCCAGAGCCCCGGGGTGACAGAGGTCGTCATCGGGGCAGAAAACAAGCTGGATGCCACCAACACAACCATTTACATCTGCGTGGAGGAGGTCATCGAGGGGCTGAGCATAGGGACAGCGGAGCTGGACTGCAGGTACGTCTCGTCAGGCTCCACTGTGGTCTTTGAGGGGGAGCTGCAGAGAGGGACCGAAGTGACGTGGCTTTGGGAGGTCCCCAACAGCACGTTGACGGGGCAGGCCGTGGCGGTCACGTTCCCCACCGCGGGGCTGTACACGGTCCACCTGAACGCGTCCAACGCCATCAGCTGGGCGCTGGCCAGCAGGAACATCTCGGTGCTGGACAGGATTCAGGGGCTGGAGGTGCGCGCCAGCAGGAAGGTGGTGGAGCCGGGAGAGCAGGTCACCTTTGTCATCAGGATGCTGTCGGGCACCTCCGTGAGTTACTTGGTCAGCATAAGCGGGGACTACTCCGTGGTGCTCAACGGGTCCAGGTACACGCACGAGTTCACCAAGAGCGGCGATTATTTGGTGACGGTGACGGTGCAGAACCAGATCAGCATCGCGCACGCCCAGGTGCTCATCTCTGTGCTGGAGGCCATCCGTGACGTCCGGCTCCTGAACTGCTGCGAGAAGGGCATGCCCACGGGCACGGAGAAAACCTTCAGCGCCCAGGCGGGCAGCGGCTCCCGTGTGTCCTTCTCCTGGCACTTCTCCCTGTGGAAAGAGCGAGGCCGGTCTGTGGTCACGGTGGTGGGAGAGACGGTTTCCTACACTCCAGAGGCTGCAGGGCTGCTCGAGATTCACCTCAGCGCCTTCAACGACCTGGGAGGTATCAACGTCACCAGAACCATCCAGGTGCAGGACCCGATAGCCCAGGTGTCCCTCACTGCCTCCAACGCCTTCGTCAACAGGACGGCGCTGTTTGAAGCGGCAGTGGTGCCCAGCAGCCGGAGCATTGAGTTCTTGTGGACCTTTGGGGATGGCTCTTCCACTCAAACGACCAGGGTTGCGGCAGCCAACTATTCTTACCTGAGCCCTGGGGACTACCTGGTGGAGGTGAATGCCACCAACCTCATCAGCTTCTTCATAGCCCACCTCACCGTCACCGTCAAAGTCCTGGAGTGCGAGGAGCCGGAGGTGGAGTTAGCCTTGCCCCCGCAGGTCGTCATGAAGCGGTCCCAGAGGAACTACCTGGAGGCACAGATCGACCTCCGGGGGTGCATCAAGTACCAGACAGAGCACCTATGGGAGATCTACCGAGCACCCAGCTGCACGAGCCTGGACGACTCCAGCAGGATCCGCCTGCCTAACGTTGACGTGAACAGGCCCCAGCTGGTGATACCCAAGCTTGCCCTGGAGGTTGGCAACTACTGCTTCATCTTCATCGTCTCCTTTGGAGACACCCCCCTGTCCAAAAGCATCTTTGCCAATGTGACTGTGATCCCGAGTAAGCTGGTGCCCATCATTGATGGGGGGTCGTACCGTGTATGGTCCAACACCCAGGACTTAATCTTGGATGGGGAGAAATCCTACGACCCGAACTTGGATGACGGGGAACAGACTCCGTTGTTGTACGAATGGTCTTGTACCTTTTCCTCCAAGGTAAGAGCAGTTTTCCCCAGCCAGAGCGGGTGGGCTGGGAGCTCCAGCTCCACATCAGCTCCACCAAATGTGTCTGGGTTGAAACGATGTTGTGGGGAGCTTTTGGGAGCATCTTGAACCAAGCTGCTGCAGAAGGAGGGTTGCGAAGGTTTCCCAATGCCCAGCTCAGGATGCTGGGACAGAAACGACTGTGAGGAGCTGCACGGTGCAGCCCTGGTGCTGCGCAGCGTCCCTGGGCATGGCCTTGGCACTGGGAGCTGAAGCTGCTTCCCTTGTTTATGGTTTTGGGGGAGCTTCTTCCATGTCCTGACCATCACAGAGCTGTTGGCTGCAGCCCGGGGGGGGTGAGGGCTCTGGTCCCTCTCCTGTTAGCATTTAAATGTCTCTGATTTCAGCAGGGGACAAAGTTAAGCTCTGGGGGAGTCAAGTGACCACAAGTGGTGGTGACCAGCAGGTCACTGTCCTCAGGCACTGACGTGGTCTGACCCCAGGTAGAAGGGGGCAGGGGAGAGCTGCCCTTCAGATGCCTGTGGGAGATCCACCTCGGGAGCAGTTTTTGGTTGAATTTGGGCTTCTTTGTCTTGTAAAAAGTCACTGTTTTCTACCTTTACCTCAAGATAGAAAGATGGGGAGTGTGTGTGGATAAGACTTCTGAGTTTAAAGTGAGCTGTTTGTTATTTGGCAATGTTTACGAGCTATTTAACGAAGAATTAATGGCTATAAATACAGAGCAATTAATTATATAGAAAACAAGCAATTAATATATAAAATAAATACTTTTTATTGCTATAAAATAAGAATTTGAAGCTCAGGTGAAATCCAAGAGCATTCCAAGTGCTGATGACTAACCTGAAGGGCAGGACGGTGTGGTTTGCTGTCCACACACCACCCCGGCGGTGGTGGCACAGCGGGGTCTGTGACAGGGACTGTGTGGACCTGCATGCGTTGGCTGTGGACTAACCCGACGTGCACCCGTACCAAGGAGGGTTTGAAAGTTCTTTTCTCCTTGCAAGCAGAGCTCGGCTGCAGGGTGCTCTCTGCATTTCAGTGCCAAGGAAGGAATTGTCACAATTTCCAAAGCTGTCTTAGAAGCAGATGTGGAGTACACGTTCGACCTGACCGTCAGGAAGGAGGGCATGAGTCCCGAGGCCACCAACCAAACCGTACGTACCACAGCGTCCCTTTGGTCCCTGTGTGCCCCAGAGCTGTAGGGCACAGCCCTTTTCCTAAGGAGGTTTCTAGAGGTTCAGGTTCTGCTGGATCTGAACTGTGCCCATCCATGGGTGCCTCCCCCGGCCCCATCTGAAAGCCGGTGCCAGTTTGGGTGAGGGGAACCAGATTTTAGAGCATCCAAACCTGATCCCATCCAGGCCGTTGGCAGGGTCAGACACTGCTATTTCCATGATACATTTTTCTTACTGGGCAGGGCTTTTTGCTTCTCCTGCCAAGTCCTCTCAGCTTCTTCCTTCCTTCAGACCTTGCCTTAACCCCTCTGTCTGCAGCCGCTGCCTTAGTGGCCCAGCCCTGGCCACTGTTGCTGGGACCAAGAGCCTGTGACCACAAATCTGCCCTGGGGGACAGCAGAGGAGCCCGTGCTCGGTGGCTCTCCCACCCCTGCGTGTGCTCTTCATATCCCAGCACCCAGCTCTTTGCTGATTTTTGCCCAGAGAGAGCTTCCTAAGAGCTGCTCCTCGATTTTGCTGTCAGCAGCTCCTCTCTTCCCCCTGCCTTGAGCTTTTGCGAAGGGAGGATTTTATCAAGCGCGTGTTGTTTATGTCAAGCGAAGCCTAACGCGTCTGCAGGCCGGCCGCAGTTATGGTTCATGTCAGAAACCTTCATCGTGGCGCGTTTGGCACTTAGAGACGTAGTCAGTCTGCGAGTGGAAACTCTTACTGCCTGGGGTTTAGACCAGAGCTGGAGGATGAAAAGCAAGAAAAAAGGGAAGTTGATAGTCTTTCAAGGACATTCCGTACGATCTGGTTTCCACGCCTGAGCGCAAAACAACGATCCCAGTGTCGCAGGAAATTTGCACATCCTGCAGGAATGAATGAAGCTTCAACGCGCTCCGGCTTAGCCCCGTGGAATATTTCTCCTCTTTGCAATGCCTGCCATATTAAACAACGTCTCCATTGCTGTCTTTGAGTTCAGATTGTTCCTTATGGCGGGGCAGAGGGCTGGACAGCCCCGCTTCCTAGGGGATTCAAGGAATTTAGGGAAAGTAGAGGTGTCAGAGCTCCATAGCTGTTGTGTCTGAGGTGTGGTGGAGCCCCTGGGATGGAGCTAAAGCCTGGAGTGACTCTGGGAAAGGTGGATCCTCCGTGCTGCGGAGCGAAAGGCGTCGATGTGCAGTGGGAGCTGTGTTTTCTGCCTGTTTTTATCATCATTTCTGTCTCTCGGGGCCAGGTAATGTCAGAAATGGTGGTGGTTCTGCACAGGCAGCGTGCCCGAGGGTCAAGTCCCAGCCCCGTAGATCAGAGCAGGGACAGGGAACCATGCCCTGATTTTGCACATCCTGGGTAAACCCAGCCAGGAGTTTGGTCTGTGCTGTGATGGAGCCTTTCCTCCTCCCAGTTACTGCTCCTGCTTTCCAAACCCTCACACAGGTCCTGTTTTGGTGGTTGGTACAGCAAAGCGCTCCAGTGAGCGTCGTCCTCACCCCAGCACGAGCGGGACTTGCTGGGAGTTCAGCACAGGGCACCAGAGGGACATTTGGGAAGTGATTTGTGTTGTCAGAAAGTGTAAATACGTAAATTCAGAATTACCTGGATTGGCCCAGCTTGGCACCGGGTGGCTCTTGAGAATCAGTGGCAGATGAACTGGCACTGGGCAGCGTAGGAAAAGTGATGTAGCTTCAATCTGACCCGAAATCCTTTGGAAATCCCTTTCTGCTTGGCCCAGTTGAGCTGAAACTGGGACACTGCTGTTTCCTTAGCACAGGCTGGTGCAGAGCGATCCCTCCTTGCAGAGCCGGGTGCTGGGATGCCCTGTTTGACGTCGGTATTTTTGTCTCAGCTCTTCTCTTGCTTCCCCAGGTGTTCATCAAGAGGGGGGGAGTCCCCATCGTGTCCCTGGAGTGCGTTTCCTGCAAGGCTCAGTCTGTCTACGAAGTGAGCAAGAGCTCCTACGTCTACCTGGAGGGGACCTGCCAGAACTGCCACAACGACTCCAGAATTGGGGTAAAGCCACCAGCAGTGCTGCTCTGACCCGTCAGCCTCCACCTCCCCAAGGCCAAGTCCTTGCTGGGTCTTTTCCAAGCCAAACCCATCAGTGCCCACCTCTTTTCACACAAACCTCACTGTTTTTTCCCTAGAAGAGATCTGTAGAGTGTTTTCTTCTCCCTGCTGATGCATTATTTTTGCCCATTATTCTGGTGGTTCAAACAGAGGTGGTTCAGTCTCTTCTGATCCCCCAAGTCCCTCATGCTCCCTTCTAATGACAGATTCCCCTGTGCAGCATCTCTGCAACCCACTGAATGAAGCAGGTCTCAGAAGCAGAAATCCCATTGCTCCCAGCAAGCCCAGCGTGTGCTTGTATGGCATTTTCACAGAATCCCAGACCGTTAGAGATTGGAAGGGACCTCCAAAGCTCATCCAGTCCAATCCCCCTGCCGGAGCAGGAACACCCAGATGAGGTTACACAGGAAGGCGTCCAGGCGGGTTTTGAATGTCTGCAGAGAAGGAGACTCCACAACCTCTCTGGGGAGCCTGGGCCAGGGCTCTGTCACCCTCACTGAGAAGAAGTTTCTTCTCCAATTGAAGTGGAACCTCCTGTGTTCCAGTTTGTGTCCGTTACCCCTTGTCCTATCATTGTTTGTCACCGAGAAGAGCCTGGCTCCATCCTCGTGACACTCACCCTTTAAATATTTATAAACATGAATGAGGTCTCCCCTCAGTCTCCTCTTCTGCAAACTAAAGAGCCCCAGCTCCCTCAGCCGCTCCTCAGAAGGGAGATGCTCCACTCCCTTGATCATCTTTGTAGCCCTACGCTGGACTCTCTCCAGCAGTTCCTGTCCTTCTTGAACTGAGGGCCCAGAACTGGACACAATATTCCAGATGCGGTCTCACCAGGGCAGAGTAGAGGGGGGGAGATTTTCTGGCTGGCTATCTCACTCTTCCTCCCGTTATCACAGTTGCATTGTGCTGTTAACAGTAACCATCCAGGGCACATTCGGCGTGAAGCGTTTCAAACGTGACATCCCGTGGAGATTCCACCAGTGCTTCGTTTGTTTCCTGTGTTGTGTGTGCCGTGTTATGAAATACTCTGTCGGAGGGTGATGTAATCCCAGAGACTAAAGTAGATCTCACGGTGGAAATATTCCCACCAGACGTTTGGGCAAGGGTCCAGTTCTTGTTGCCGTAGCGCACAAGACTAAAGCTGAATTATCAACTGCAAATCTGGCAGGCGCTCCCGCTCGAAATCTGTTGCTTTTTATAAAAGGCTCAAGCCGAAAACATTTTCAGGACATAACTTCAGGCTTTAAACAAAACCTCTCCTGTCTTTCCCCTCTTCACCTCTACAGAGATGGGCAGCGCACAGCTTTAAGAACAAATCCCTCGTCCTGGACAAGACGACGACGTCCACGGGCGACACGGGCATGAACCTGGTGCTGCGGCAGGGGGCTCTGAGGGACGGCGAGGGCTACACCTTCACCCTGCACATCACGGACCTCAGCACCGGGGAGGAGGGCTTCGCCTCCATCGACCTGCTCCCGAACCAGCCGCCCGTCGGGGGGTCCTGCCGCCTGTCTCCAAAAGGGCCCCTCAGGGCGCTGATGGCCAAGGTGCACTTTGAGTGCGCAGGTGAGAGCTCATGGGCAAAGATCCCTCATGACCGGTGTCACCATCATCCCACAGGTTTCTGTACCCCAGGACACCTGGCCAGGGCTGAGTGGTTCTTTCCCTTTACTGATCCCCAGAGCTCGGACCAAATTATGGCGCTCTAAAACTCACAGTGGCAAGCAGGCACTGTTTTTTAATCCTAATTCATGTAATTGAGTGGTGATATCCAGGCCAGGCCAGTCCTTGCAGAAGAAACTGGTATTTCAGTGCAGGAGAAAAGAAGAGAGGTGCCCAAAAACTGAGTCACACACATATGGGAAGAGTCAAAAGACAAAGCACTGGGGCTGCCATGTGGGCTGGATGTTCCCACCAGCCATTACCTTCTCAACCAGCTGCAGAGACAGCAACAACCAGTCTGGCTTTGGGAAAGTGGCCTGGCTGATGTCCTGTAGCCCTGGGCCAAGGAATAAGTGCCTCTGGAAACCATATTTTCCCAAATGAATGGTATTAGAGCTTAATGCTGATGTGCACAAATGCCGGGAAGCCGCGCTGCAGAGGAGGTGATGAGTTCTGCTGGTCACCAAAGCCCAGCTCAAGCTGGGGGAGAAGCAGCAGTGCATTATGGTTGTACCTTTGGCACGCTCTGAGCTACCCAGGATAACTGTGAAATCAGTTCCTCTTCGGGGTGGTGGGGAATTTTGGCTCTTGGTGATTGTTTTTAAGCTGAAGTGAAATGCAAATTTACCTTCGCTGCTGCTTATTGGCAAACGGGCAGTGAATTTTGCTCACAAACCATTCACCAATCCCTATAAACGTTGTGGATGATGGTGACCACAGCCCCCCCCGTGCCCTTGCCCCTGTCATTGTCCCCGTTTGGGTTTGTTTTGCAGGCTGGCGTGACACGGAGGACGCGCAGGGCCCGCTGGTCTACATCCTGCTGGCCTCTCGCCACAGGGACGGTCACTACCACGAGTTCTGCGTCTACAAGGGCAGCCGCGCCGAGCACAGCGCCTTCCTGCCCCCCGGCTTCCACGACAGCGGCTTCGTGGTGTCCGTGTCTGTCCTTGTCCAGGACCAGCTGGGAGCCACCGTGGTGGCCATTAACCGGTAAGAGCCACTGGTCACGGGCTGGGGTTATCACAGAAACACAGAATGTGAGGAGTTGGCAGGGACCTGGAAAGCTCCCCCAGTGCAACCCCTGCCACAGCAGGATCACCACAGCAGTCACACAGGAACACGGCCAGGGCTTTGGGTGTCTGCACACAAGGAGACTCCACAACCTCTCTGGGCAGCCTGGGCCATGCTCCAGAACCCTCACACTGACAAAGTTTGGCCTCATCTTCAGCTTGAACCTCCTGTGCTCCAGCTTGGGACCATTGCCCCTTGTGCTGGCATTGGCCATCCCAGAGCAGAGCCTGGCTCCTTCCTCCTGACACTGCCCTTTCCCAATGGATCCCCAGGAATGAGGGCACCCCTCAGTCTCCTCTGCTCCAAGCTCAAGAGCCCCAGCTCCCTCAGCCGCTCCTCAGCAGGAGATGCTCCACTCCCTCCATCACTTTGTGGCCCTGCTGGACTCTTTCAAGCAGTTCCTGTCCTTCTGGAGCTGAGGGCCCAGCACTGGACACAAGATTGCAGCTGTGGTGTGAGCAGGGCAGAGCAGAGGGGCAGGAGAACCTCTCTGCCCTCCAACCACCCCTTCTCATCCAGCCCAGGATGGCGTTGGCCTTCTTGGCTCAAGGACACACTGCTTATGTGGCAGTGCTGGTGGCCAGCTCCTGGATCAAGGGCTGGACCACTGTCCATGTCCTGAAGGGCTCGGCAGAGCCTGGATGAGACCTTTGCCTCCTGGAAGCGGCTGCTGGCAGGATGGTGAGGGAGAAATGCAATACAGAGAATTCCAGTCTTTGTGGATCATTGCTCAAGGGGGGAACTTTCTCATAAGTTACTGCTTTCCTCACCACCCTTCATTCCCTGGTGACCCTTTGCTTCGAAGCCACGATGTTGCCTTCTCAGATCATCTCTGTGCTCTGCCACCTTCCCTGCTTCAGGAGGTGCCCTCAAAGCAGAGTTGGCAGCAGCCAGCCCGGTGCTGCGGGTGTCCTGGTGTCCTGCTGAGAGCCAGGGAGGTCTCATGTGTGTTCGAGCAGGGAGGAAGGGGCTGCTGCTGGAGCCTCTGCATGACCACAAGACCCCAGTTATCCCTTCTGCAAACCCCCCTGGGTTTCCAGCGTGCTCCACGCGGGTGATGAGTGCCCACACGTCTTTGGGCAGTGTCCTGAGCTGGTCGCTGCTGCCTGGCTGAGCTGTGTGACTGCTCCTTCTCCCCACGCTGTACATGTGGTCCCGGGCTGGAGCACACACGGTCCTGTGGAGGAGGATCTGTGTCCCAGCTGTTCCCCAGGCCCCAGGGAGCGATGCCAAAAGCAGCGCAGCTCCTCCCAGCACACGGGCCCTGTCTTTAAGTGCTCTTTATGCTCCGTCAAACTAAACCTGGGTTTTCTCCTCTGGGTTCAGTGTACCCATGTGCATCCTCCACCTGCAGCTTCGCAGAGCTGGACCGGTGAGGAATGAGCCTTCAGGTCCATGGTGTTCCTCCATACATCTGGTGTAAACTGGGCGCCAGGGCAGGCATCGGTGATGCTGTAGTCGTTGTTTAACCACCAATTTCCCCCTCGTCTTCCTTCCCAGCGGATTCTGGCCCCTTCCCCAGCCCCTGTTAAGCCTGCACTTAACCCAAACGCCTCCTTCTCTTGGCAGCTCCATGGAGATCGGCCTGCCCGAGGGCTTCCCCAGCCTCTCCCACTGGCTCTACAACCAAACCGACACTGTGCTGCAGGGCTTGGTGAAACAAGGGGACCCTCAGCAAGTCATCGAGTACTCGCTGGCCCTCATCACCATCCTGAACGAGGTAAAGCAGTGCCCTCTGCCCAAGAGGGGCCTCCAGAAGGCCGTGCGACTGCCAGCGGTGTTCTTTGGCCAGGCTTTGTGCCACGACGTAGGGAAATGACTAATGCTACGGTTTTTCGTGTAAATCAGTGTACGTGCACTCTGGGAGCTGGGCTGGAGCTGTTTCCATGCATCAAAAGGAGTTGTGAGCTCCAGACACTCAAAGACCAGGGAGCGCAGAGGGGCTGCAAAATAAAGCAGAGGCTCCAGAGAGGGCAGAGGCCTGGGTGTCTCCCATGCAGCCTGCTTTTGTGCCCTCATGTTGATATAGTTTCTCCTCTTTACTGCCAGCCTCATGTCTAAACACCAAATTTAGAAGCAGAAACCTTCTCCCAAATCCCCCCAGCTCCTTCATGCCGCCCCACTCCATCCCAGCAGGGCTCCGGCTCCATGTGGCTGCTCTGGGTGCTAAGGAGACCTGAGGTAGCACGGCTAGAAAGATCTGCCTGCATGCAGAGCTCTTAATGCACAGCACAGGAGCATCGTTCCCCTGGCAGCGTTCACTGAAAGTGGGATCAGCCCCTTCAGGTGCATCGCTATAGGCAGGGCAGGAATTTGGGTCCATACTCCTGCTTTCCTGCCCACGAAGCCAGGCAGGGGCAATCCCCCTGAGCACTCTGCTGTGCTGTTAGCTGTCGAGGGCAAGGCTGTCGAGGGAATTACTTGGAGCACACATGGGAAATTGAGGAAGTTCTGCTGAAAACCCAGCTCATTAGATCACCCTCTGGGGATCAGCACTGGCAGGGAGGTACAGAGTGCAGGGAAGAGCTGGGTCCAGAACAGCTCATCCTCTAAACCAACCTGGTATGTATCCTCATCACAGAATGTGAGGAGTTGGCAGGGACCTGGAAAGCTCCCCCAGTGCAAGCCCTGCCACAGCAGGATCACCAGAGCAGTCACACAGGAACACGGCCAGGGCTTTGGGTGTCTCCACACAAGGAGACTCCACAACCTCTCTGGGCAGCCTGGGCCATGCTCCAGAACCCTCACCCTGACAAAGTTTGGCCTCATCTTCAGCTTGAACCTCCTGTGCTCCAGCTTGGGACCATTGCCCCTTGTCCTGGCATTGGCCATCCCAGAGCAGAGCCTGGCTCCTTCCTCCTGACACTGCCCTTTCCCAATGGATCCCCAGGCATGAGGGCACCCCTCAGTCTCCTCTGCTCCAAGCTGAAGAGCCCCAGCTCCCTCAGCCGCTCCTCAGCAGGAGATGCTCCACTCATCTGCCTGACTTTATCCCCCCAGTACGAGCGGTCCATGCTTCTGGAACCCGAGACCGGGAATGAGTTTGAGCTCCGGACCTGGACTCGCAACAACATCACAGAAACCCTGAACTCGCTGAAGGTGAACACGGTCGATGACATCCAGCAGATCTCGGCTGCCCTGGCGCAGTGCACGGTACATTCCCCATCGCCACCTCCGGCCTCCTGCTCTTCCAGCTCAGATGCTCTTCAATTCTCGTTCTGCTTCCCTGTCTCACTCTTTTCCTCTCTCTTTCCCTTACTTCTCCCACACAGAGAGTACAGTTTTCACTTGCTGACATCGTTAGGGTTTCGGTGGTGATGTCCTAAGTGTTGTCAGCTCTGCCACTGATTGCAGGCATAGATAAAATGATGTATTCATGTGCAGGAAGACAGCACCTAAGAACTCTTGTTTCTTCCCTGGTGTGGCATCCTGCTAGCAAGGAGGATCCTTTTGCAGGAAGAAACGGTAGGACAGGGCTTCACAGACTGGAGAAGCACTGCAATAAATCTCTGGGAAGTTGCAGAGTCCCCGAGGACAGGCTGGGCTCCATCAGCAGTAACACAAGTGGAGCTGGAGCTGCCTTGGGCTGAGGACAACACCAAGGAGCAACGTTTGCTCCAACAGGACAGGGTTGGGAGCGCTGCTCTACCTCGGCGCTGACTGGAAGCGCTGTGGTCCCGGCCAGCTCCCATTTGAGCTCCCTGCTGCCGGGGCTGCTGCCCGGTGGACCGAGGAGTGGCTGCTGTGTTTTGTCAGATGGGCAGAGGGACCAGAGCCCAGTTACATAAAGTGCTTGGGGTTTGGTGGTCAGCCAGCCTGCTCTGGCCTGCTCTTCCTCCCCGCCCTCCCGAGTCTCCGCTTTTGGGATTAGATTCGGGTACCCTGGCCATCAAAACGATGGGCAGACAAACTGCATCCCACCCACAGAGTCCCTGTTCTGCTCCTTTCGCTGCTTCAAGGTCTGTAAACCTCAAAAACGGCCTCTTTCTGTTCGTCTTTGTTCAGGGATCTGGGGCTCAGCACATCCCAGCTGAGGTCTGGTTTCTTTGGGTCTCTCCACGTGCTCTTGCCTTGCGACTCAATCGCGCTTAGGTCCAGAAATAGAAGGTTTGTTCCACGGGAAAAGCTGGCGTTCCAGGGGTGGTTTGTGCTCTGGATGGGAATGAAAAGCTTGGGAAAACAGGAATCTAGAGTTTCTTGAGTGGTTGAGACCAGCACAGAGTTCGCACATTTCCTTTCCTGTTGAACTGTCAATCAGTGCTGATTCTTTGATTTTACCTACCGGGGAGAGGAAAACTCCGAATTAAGTTCTCCTGGAGCTGAAGCACAGGATCTCAGTGGTTTTAGTCCATTCTCCTTCCTAAGGAGCAGCTCCCCATGGGTGGCTCCTACCCACAACCCCTTTCCTTCCCCACCTCCTTGATACCCGACGTGCGGACTCTGATGTACGCAGCACGTCCTCGCTTCTCACCGCTTACAAATAACAGCAGAGAAGGGGCAATTCTGGACCTGCAGATGCCATGCTGACTCCTCACCAAAACATATGGTGAATCATGGCTGAATCCTGCGATGATTAAAAGAGAAGAAGATGAATAAGAGCGAGGAGCGGGGCTGCGGTAACGGCTTCCATGTGTTGTCCCTCCCACCCCGGCCTCGAGCGTGGCTGGAACATTCTGTTTCTTGGCCGTGGCTGGGAGCGCAGGGAGGGACATCCATCATGGCAGGGCCCTCCCGCTGCGTTCAGAAGCGTTTGGTGGTGGAAATGGGCTCGGTTAGGGCTGAATCTCACTTCTGTGGAGGGCGGCGGAGTGGATGGAGGATCCTGTCCAGGTTGGTTTCTGTAGGAGTAGTGTGTGGTCCCAAAGGGGTGCTCAGGAGATGCAGCAGGTGATGTGCTTGGTCCTTAGTGAACTCCAGGGAGCACGAATATACTGCCCTTTATTGCTCTTTCCAACCCTACATTGCTCTTTCCAACCCTACATTGCTCTTTCCAACCCTACATTGCTCTTTCCAACCCTATATTGCTCTTTCCAACCCTAATGCACCCTCTCAGCACCCTTACCTGTACCCTGTCTGAGTACCTGTACCCTGTAACGTGAGGGGAGGTGAGTCCTGGAGACACCAGCATCTCCTTGGCATCTCAGTGTGAGCATCCATGGTCTCTGCAGTCACCTCCCTGGGGCAGGAAGCAGCAGGGGTGGCTCTGAGTGCAGATGGTGTTTGAACAAATTACTCAGGTCTTTGCAGGACTGAGCCACTGAGCTTCCCCACAGCCTCCATCGCCTTTCCCTGCGCTCG